GATTGAACTCTGGTTAGCAGCATGCAAGGCAAGAACCCTACTAGCTCAACTGTCTCTCTGGCCTCTCTCTATAGATTTTTAGATCAAGAACAATTTCTAAAGAGCAATCAACTTTTTATGTTTGGTTCCATCTAATTAAATCTAATTTCTTGAGTTTGTAAATTCAAAGCAAAACAAAAATTAAGATATATTTTAAAGTTTGAGGAAATAAGTAAAATTTGCTTTTGTTTAACTGCCCAGAATATTAAATATGTTGGAGTCTGAACCCAAGGGAAAAAACAGCACTGTAATGATTGGCCTACATGTTTCGTACCTTTAAAGAAAAGTATAACAGTAAAATAATCTAAAAATAAAGACATTTCAAGTGTTTATTTATAGCCTGAGTGTAATCAAGACAGCGCAATCAGCAGAAATTGGCACTGATCTAGAGCTAGTCTCCAATCTCTGCATATTTTGGTATAAAAGGACACTTTATTTGAGACATTCCACATAAAAATGATCATTACTGAATATTTAAAAGGTTTTCTTTTACCTTTATGTGAATGTACTTGAGTAAGGAAAAGTTCCAGTAACTAATTTACGTTAGATATAATAAATACTACAAATTTTAAAAGTTATAATTTATATTCAATGAAATATTAAGAGAGTATTAGTATTTTAGTTTTAAAATTTTTATTAAAATAAATTACATAGTAAAATTCAGAAGAATATTTTTGTGTAAAAAGCATTGGATTATAGAAATTTATATAATTTTTAAAGTCACTGTCACTATTACTGTCCTCCCATTGTTCATCGATTTTGCTCGAGTGGGCCCAGTAACATTGTGAAACTTGTTACTGTGTTTGGCATATTTAATACATCATGGGGAGCTTGCCAGGCTTTGCCGTGCGGGCAAGATACTCTTGGTAGCTTGCTGGGCTCTCCGAGAGGGGCTGACGAATCGAACTCAGGTCAGCTGGACCAGCGCGTGCAAGGCAAATGCCCTACCCACTGTGCTATAGCTCAAGCATTAGAATAATTTCATTGATGAACATGTAAAATAACCGAGTAATGTGGATCAAAATGCAATCACATTTTCCTTTCCAAAGTAAGTAGCAAGCCTCCTTAACATAACAAAGGCAGAAAGTCAGAGATTTTTATCTGACTTTTTGCAACCAATATATTTTGCAAACAAAGTGAGTTGGAACCAAGTTTCCCTTTCTCTGCAGTGTTGGAAATATGCAGTGATAGATATTTGGAATGATGTGATCTCAGCAATCTATGTTTTTATCCAATTTATTTACTGGAAGTTCTTTCAATTGTCATAATTCCAAACATATGATAAGAAATATTGAGCAGATATATCTTCTCAGACAACTGCTGTGCCCTAAGATTGAGGCGGCATTATCAGGCCAAGAAGAGCCTCTGTCACATCCCTTGCAAAGAACATAGTGATCAACTGAGTGGCGATGGCAAATGGGACCCTCAAAAATTAGCTACAGAAAATAATAAGGGAACATGGCTTTAAATTGACCTTATAACGATTATAAATACTGAATATGTCTACAACCATGATCTATTTCTGTTTCAATTAGGATACAGACAATAAATGGAGAGTTCTCTGAATTAGCTCAGATGTTGTTGTGATATTTTCATTTCATTTTCATCATTTCATCATCCTGTTATTCGTCGATTGCCTCGAGCAGGTCCCAATAACGTCTCTTTCATCCTAGCCCTGAGATTATATTCAAGGCTCTTTAGGAGAATGAGACCCATGTTGTGATATAAGAATTAAAATATAGAAGAGAAGTGGTAAAAAATGCACACTGAGGTAAAGGAGTAGAACGAGAAACTAAGGGGAAATGGCACAAATTAAAAAAGATCTCCCCAGCCCAAAGGACCCAAACTGGCAGCTGTAAACCTCCAGCATCCAATTGCCGCCCTGCTCAAGGCCACTCTCCACAAGCTGTGGCCTAGCCTTATCCACGGTGAGTCCCCAGAAAACCCAGGTATGTGGGAGTTTGTGACTAAGAACTCTGGGTTCAACAGGACTGGAAATAGAGATCCCCTGCCCATATTCCCTTGTCTTCTACGATGAATCAGCAGTTTCGCCCATAAGCCACTTCTGGCTCATGCCGGAAAATCTCGCCATTGGCCACCATCTAGATCACATGTCCTTCTTCCCAGAAGGGAGCATAACATGACTCTCTCCATAACCATGCTGCCGCTGCCAGACCACTGACAGGCTGATTCACTCGGGGTGCCCAGGAGGGGGGCAGGTGAGACTCCTCCCCACCCCAAGGGACACAGTCCCAGCAGCCAAAAACCTACAGAACTCAAGCACTGCCATCTCATGGCCACTCTCCACATGCTGGGGCCGAGCCTCACCCACGGTGAACCTATTCTTGGACCACTCATACCACACACGCTACCCATACTCCAAGAGTACTGCATCACATTTGATGGGGTTTAAGGTGGTAGGCAACCAATCTTAGGGGGGAAAGATATATTTTTACATATATATAAATGCATATGCACATAAGGCTCAATCTTCTCTTATAAGAAGGTTTTAACGGCCCTTGTTGAAATACAATAATCTTTACACTTTTTCTCTAAGGACACTTTTTTGTAACATTTTCAGCTGTTTTTCATAACAAATAATACAAAATATATTATTTCAGTTCTGCTTTGAGACAGGGATTGGGGTTTGGAATGGAAACATCCAAAATAAGGTGGTAGGAAGGTGTATGGTGGTTGAATTGGTGTTTATATATTAAATGTAATCAAATATTGTGAACTAACTTACAAAATAAAAAAAATAATAAAAGATCTTACTAGTATCTTTTGACAAGTATTACTTCTCTCTTTTTTTAAATTTTTATTAGTGAAATGCCACAAGGTACAGTTGTAGACTTACAAATTTTTGTGCTTGGGTTTCAGTTATACACTGATCTAATACCCATCCCTCCACCAGTGCCCATTTCCCACCACCACGGATCCCAGTATCCCCCCCCCCCCACACTCCCTCTATCCCTTTAAGTACAAAAAAATATAAATTCAAACTATGTTTCTACAGGTCAATGGTTATAAACATGAAGGTCTATAGCAGGCATTGTTTTCTTCCCTCAGAGTTATTACCTCGGATATCACTCTCATTTTATTGAATTTCAAACTTTTCCACTTTCATGGCTAAATATATAACTTGATAGTGGAATAACACTCTTAGAACTTGATTTCCTATGTCTTTAGCTCATTTCTTTATCATGATTTTTATGTTGGTGATTATTACTGAGGCAGCATAATAAATAAAACTGTGTTCATTTTTTAGACCTATGAAAAATAGATACTATTAGGAATGGAATTGAAGGTTCTGGTAGGAAGACAGAAGATCATATCATTTTGGATAGATTGGTCAGATAAAAAGCTTCTCTGGGAAAGTAAAAGTTAAGCGCAGCATAGTTGAGAGCAAAGGCTAACTAATCAGCAAAGATCCCTCTCTGAGCAGAGGAAACAATGAGTCTTAAAAACAGAGAAGGAAACTCTATTGTAACAGTGATCAGGGTGTTGCACCAGCTAGTCACATGCTCTGAGACGTGAGCTACTTCTCTGGTCCTCCTTTATGGTTTTTAAATTTATCCAATTTAATTTAATTTTGGGGGTGGGGTTTGTTGGGTCAATTCCATGGTTTTTAGGATTATTTCCTGCTCAGGTGTGACTTCTGGCACGTGCCAACAATTCTATGTGTTGTAGGATTTTGAGCCAGCGTTGGCTGAATTGGTCACATGCAAGGCCAGTGCCTGGCATCCTCTAAAAACACTCTGGCCACTCTTTACTGTTTTTAATGAGACTCTGGGCAGAAGAGGAGAGAGGTAGAATTTGATTTAATGACATGTATAAAAAAATTATTGTCACAGAAACAGTCTGGGTCATATTGTCAATACAAAACATATAATAGATTGTAACTGAATGTGGAGGAAAGAGAAGATTCATGAGTTTTTATTGAAAATTGCATGAAAAAAATTCCATTTTTGTGATGAGGAAGCCAACGGGAGAAATTAAGTGGTCTGGCGAAACCAGGACTTTTACGCTGTGTCTTTGAAGCTTAGACTGCTATTCCATATACAGAAAAATGAATTGTATACTCAGTTTGATATATGAGTGTATCATGCAATAGAACGATAAAAATAATAGGCAAATACAGATATATTAAAATTTTACTCATATAGAAAACTTGACAATAAGTTTTTATTTATGTTGTAAATAAAAATACAATTTGGCTTAAATTATGGAAGATTTTCTCCAAAAAATTTTCTCCAAAAAATTTTCGTTGTACATCAGATTATATTCTCTTTTCTTTAATGTACAATATTGAACTTTGGGTATTGTATGCATGTAAATCAATCAATCATATGCAACCACATGTAATCGATCTCATGAAACCACATGTAATCACATTTTCACCAGCTACTGCGGCTCTTTCATGTCGCTCACTCATGTACATGTAAATTAAACATGCATGTAAATATATTAATCATTATTGAAAAAGCACGATATATAAAATTCCTAACCAGATTGGGGTAGTCCTTTTTAGCTTTTAAATGCACTTTTTCACTATATTTTTATATCTTATACCACCCAAATGATAAACGTGAAATACACTAACCCCTCAGGTCAAGTGCCATACGTATTAAAAACAAAGTTATATTTTTTGTGTAGCACAGTAAAACAATTTGAAGCCAAATGAATTTTAAAATGATGGATATTGTTAAGTTTCTTGGTTCACTTAGGATTTGTGGAGGTAAAAATTACATTACTATAAAGCAGGCTTAGTCTCACATTTAAATTTAGTAAAGAAAATAAGATAAACGTTAAAAAGCAAATAAAGTAATACTCATAATACGTATATAAGTTCTATAATTAAAGATACTGTGACAGTGCTGGCTTTTAAGCAATAAGACCGTATTCAGACTTATGAGAGAGCTATAACACCAATGTGGAATATGTAACCATGCATGACTTACCGAGCGGTTGACCTGCGATGATCCTGGCATTTTCTCCGGCCACTGCAGCTCTTGCATGCCGCTCACTCATGTACTGGACAAATGCATATCCTTTGTGGACTGAACATCCAACTATTTTTCCATATTTTGAAAAAATGGCTTCAATGTCACCTTTCTTGACAATGGCTGTATTTAGATTGCCGATGAAAACACGGGAGTTGATGGACTTGGGGTCATTCTTATTGGTGACGTTGCTGGTCTGGGTTTTGCCAGTCATGGTTGGCTCACCGGATTTTAGTCCTTAAGCAACAACAACAACAAAAATACAAATGACCACAAGGTAAATAATTTGATTGAACGGACATCATAGACTTTTAACATTTTTTTCCAATAGTTTATATAATAGCCACAAATCCCTAAGTATTGCTGATTTTCTTTAATTAAAATAATGATTATTAATAAGGTTGAACATTTCATTGCTAAATACTGTAGAAAAATGGTTACAATTAGTATCTAGTTACAAATAAATCTTTGACTCATTTCTTCAAAACATGGAAACATTTTTGTAGCTTAAAAAAAGTCTATCAGTTTTTTAAGAAACAGTTTGAGGCAAAAGACTGATCACCTTGTTCTAGCAACAAATAGAAAATTCAGTACGCCCCAGCCTGATGACGGATTACAATAATGCAACTTCAGTTAACTGACAACATGCATTTATATTGCCATAGTTTTATAATAGACATATCTTATACTTCATTATCAAAGCCATTCTATAAGAAACTAGCAATTCATATTCTTAATACTGCAGAAGAAAATAATAAGTCAAAAATTAAATTAGAAAAGTTAACATAAAAGCAGGATTTTGAGGATAAAGACATTAATCAGAATTTTTTTATGTTCTTAAATTGAGCCATATCACATGCTATTTTTAAAAAGACATTTAAAGATAATTTTAACAATTATCGGCAAAGTAGTAGACTGTTGAAGTTTTTATTCTCAACCTCATTTCTAATAGATTTAACTCAAGGATTCTGGTACCTAAGGGCTATGCCTATTTTTAAAAATTATTTTGGGGGTCTGGAAGAGTTTTTTTTTAGTCTAAAGTGTTTAATAGTACTTTAAAGAAAAAATTAAACTCAATGAACTTAGAAATAATTCAATGTACTCAGAAATAATTTTACTTAGTCCAGTACTACGAGACATATTTCAAAGCTTTAAAATTCATCCATTCATTAATTGGAGCGATAGCACAGCGGTAGGGTATTTGCCTTGCCCGCAGCCAGCCCTCCTGAGCCGGGTTCGATTCCTCTGCCCCTCTCTGAGAGCCCGGCAAGGTACCAAGAGGATCTCGCCCACACGGCAAAGCCTGTCAAGCTACCCATGACATATTAAATATGCCAAACACAGTAACAACAAGTCTCAAAATGAAGACATTTCTGGGCCTGCTCGAGCAAATCGATGAACAATGGAAGGACAGTGTGACAGTGTGTGACTGTGTGACAGTATTGAACACTTTTAGTCAGATATCAGGCATTTGCCAGATAGAATTAAAGTACATAATTATTTCAAGAAACCAATCTATTAACTCTAAAATGGCAGCCAGAGTAGAATCTCTGACTTTCACCATCATTGATGAACATACATATGCTTTCTAAATGTTGGGTCACTCAAGTGATGCCCAGAATGTCTGAGGTCACCTCCAAGTGATGAACAGCCCACATGCCTGGTGGTAGAGTGCCGGGTTAGGGTCCTGTGGCACTGATGTTTGAATCTGCTGGGTCGCATTCAACGTGGCGCAAACTCTGTACTATCTATCCCAGATTCAACAAATACAATCATACCTTATGAGTCCAGTTAAAAATAACTTGAGTGACAAATAATTAATAAGTGAATATCATTTTCAAAATAAATAATAATATTTTTAATTGAATAAATTGGTAACATCTTTATGGCATGCAAATTGAATAGGCTTGGAAATATAATTAATAAACATTTTGACTACTGCTGATTCAATAACCAGAGAACATAAAAATTCTTACTCTTCAGCTGATATTTTAATGTAATACATAGTAAATGATAAGAAAAATTTGATAACTGTTGGACAGTCAATATCACATATCTCTTTATATTAAAGACCAATGTCATGAAACTTAGTGACTCACAGAAAAACTAAGTATGACAAAATTAAAAACAAGTATTAGATTGTTCCCTTGATTTTGTTCATCTTTGCTACATGCTAGTGGTTCCTTATGAATTATTCATGATTAGAGTTGAAGTAGAAGAAAGCTGATACATTTTAAATTTTTGTGATTTGGGCTATTGCATATCTCAAGACAAATGCTTTGAGAATCAATTGTAATGAGAAAATCAAAGGCTATGTGTATGCATGGGTGTATCTATGTATTTTAAACAAACTGTTATCTTCTTTGCATAGGCTAGTAGATATTAGTCATATCAAGGGAGAAGAAAAAAGGTTTACTTTTGTGGGCTCAGAAATGGTTAATTTTCTTACCATATTAAGTCAAAAGCTGCAATATAATCTGCCAAAACATTGTTTTCTTTTATGTGACAGTATTTTCAGAGATTATTTCAGTTACTTTTAAGAAAGGGAAAAATTTTTATGGTTAACATTATATTTCTAGGACAGAGATAAAATGGAGAAAGTGAAAATTTAATCTACTTCCATGGATTAATGTGGGACATCTAAGTCAATGAGTGTGTCAAGTAGAGGGTCCGACTCTGTATTAAAATCACTGTACATGCAAGCATCCGCTAATTCCATCCTTTAAGGCTGACTCTAATAATTATAACTCCAGATACCTCTTATGTGATTCTACTTAACAATTCTTAATCACTATAAAACTATAGATGTATAATCTCTGACTCATCTAACTAGTTTAGAATATTCAATAAGTTTTATTATATATATCATAATTTCAATATTCTTTACAAAATCAAGCCTCAGCTCTTTTGGTAAGAGCTTGTTTTATTTACTATATGGATTTTCAATTATCTAAGGAAGGACTTCCACTTTTAGTCATGATGAAATAACAGAGGTTATATTAAATGACCTGACTCAAACAGCCAGAAATCCAAGCTAAAATAGATGAAATAATCAACTTTCCAGACATTAAACATCACAGGGCAATGATATTTGAGAGAAAAAGAGAAAACTGAAAATCAAGTAAAGGACTAGGGTATATTTCTGGAAATGATGTTGAGAGAGAGAACAAAAGAGACAAACACAGAGAGAAAGGGGGGAGAGAGAGAGAGAGAGAGAGAGAGAGAGAGAGAGAGAGAGAGAGAGAGAGAGAGAGAGAGAGAGAGACAGCCATAGGAGTTCAAGGATGCTGGAATTTGTGATGCAGATTCCTAGAAAGGAAAGCTATACAGAAAGTAGTTCCGAAATGATTTTAACTGTCTCTTGCATTTAAGCTGATGCTTAGAATATGCCTGCAAAGGGTGAACTACTGTGAGACACATATCTCTCTCTTTCATTTTTCTTTTTTTTGGAAAGCTGTGTGTTGAATGATTCCAGACACAAAAAGCTAACCATCACTATGAGCAATGGTGCAAATTCCAAATTACTTGTATGAGGGATTATGTTTAGATACATGAAGGGCCAGATTTTAGAAAGATAAAAAAAAATGTTTCTCATAAGGATCAAAAGTACTCAAGATAAATTAAATTCAGAACTTTCATCATGCAATAAAAACTGGAGATTCTAAGAATTAAAACAATATGATCCATTACCTGGTAAGTTATTAAAGATATAACAGGGAATCAAATGGACTGCGTAAAATACCAAGCATGTTTGAAATTTTAGATTCATGCTGGTTGATTTTAGAGGTTTTAAGATTCTATAGCAGAAAATGTTTGTTAATTTAAATTTTTTTAAAAAAATAGACTATCTTAAATGCATTGTGGAGATAAATTACCAAAGAAAAAGAGAGGCTCAGTGAATTATATGATAGCATCAAACTATCTAACATACTTGAAAATATATTTTAAAGAAAATGGCCAACTTTCCCCTAAGTTTAATGAAAAATATATGATGCTGTGAATCCCATTAACTTCTTTCAAGTCTAAAAATAGAAATAAAATCATTCTCAAATGTATTATAATTAAGTTATTAAAACCCAGTGGTAAAGAGAAAAATCAAAGATCCCTCTACACTGAAAGATGTTGAGGGAAAACCTTATATGAAAATCAAAGATTGATAATAGAGAAGGGAATTTATAACTACACCATACATAACAATGGGAAATGAATTTTTCACTGAGAGCATAATAAAATCTAGATATCACCTCCTTCTTTTAAAGGTAGATTTAAATAAAGTTAGGTGTCTGTAAATTATGCTGTGCAATAAAAGATGACTTGTAAACCACTGACATTCCAGGACTTGTCTGCAATGATGAAAACTTTCCATGTCTACATGTTTCAAAGTTCTATCAATAAGCCTAAGTTTTGAGGAGTTGATCTGTGGATAATATGGTCAAAGTATTGAATTTTAAGATTTCACTCAAGTTAAATTGAGGCATTACTTAAAATAAATATTTACTCCCAAAAGACTAACGATGCTTTGATATATAGGATAATCATAAATCAAAATTTAATTTTATATGTCTTGTCTTGAGGCATACTTTTGTTTTCCCAAATTTATGAAAGATATGATAGTATTAGATATGCTTCAGAAGAACAAACAAGAGTTTTAAGTGACTGCCAAAGAATACTACTTTAAGAGCAGGGGCTTTTGTTCTGGAAATGACAGTCTGAAATGCAGAATGTTCTAGAAAATCATAAAGACTGTGGTTAGATAGTTTTTGTATATTTGTTTGTAGGAATATTTCTACCTTGTATTTAAAAGGAATACATTAATTATAAAGTAAAGGAGATAACAAAATGTACTTTATAGGTACAAAGAAATACTTCGAAGTGCTAAGCACATGCTTTATATTCAGGAAGTCCAGTTTCTATACCCAACACTGAATCCTTGAAAGCTGCAAGGAGCTAACCCCAAGCACAGAGTCCCAAATTCAAAATAAATAAGTAAATATGCAAATCAATAAATATGTATATAAAGTAAAAGTAAAGGCCCTCCTGTTGATCATCGATTTGCTCGAGCGGGCCCAGTAACGTCTCCATTGCAGACTTTGTTGTTACTGTGTCTGGCATATCGAATACGTCACGGGGAGCTTGCCAGGCTCTGCCGTGTGGGCGAGATACTCTCGGTAGCTTGCCGGGCTCTCCGAGAGGGGCGGAGGAATCGAACTCGGGTCGGCCATGTTGGCTGCGTGCAA